AAATTTGGGTAGCATCACTTTTACCATTTTTCAGTTATGTCCCTTTATAAATTTATATGATATGCAAGCGGGGGACATCATCTGTGTCCCATGGACACATTCTCCATTTATTATCAAGAAGAACAAAGGCCATCTTGAATAAACTTGGGGTGCCTATAAAGTACAAAACAAAATAGAAACGAAACAAAAGAGAAAAGAAACTAAATGAAATGAAAAAAAAAAAAAACATAGAGAAAAGAAATCAATCAAAAAACAAAACAAAACAAAGGAAATAAAACGAAACAAACTAAATATATATCGAATATATTATAATAGGGAAACGAAATACATATATTCTCTCCTTTTTGCATTCAAAGCCTTATAATTGAATTTTGATAAGAAGCATTTGGATGATAGTGATCAAATAGTGTTTAACATCCAGTGACAATTATAACATGCATTTGAGAATAATTTAAATTTTGATGTAACACGTCTTCTGATTGGCTGAAAGTTTTTTGTTTATCAGCTCATAGACATAATTTTGTCATGTGATCGTGACGTCATCAACGTTTTTTTCATGATTTACTCTTAAAATTGGAATTTAGAATTAAATTATAAGGAATGACTGTAATATTTTTTCTGTCTATTCGAAATAACCTAGAAAATATGGTGCACACTATTAAATAACCCGCTACACGGGTTATTCAGTGTGCACCACTTTTTTGATGTTATTTCTTCATAGACAGAAAAAATATTACAGCCATTCCCTAAATGAGTACATGTTATGGTGTTTATGGTGTAAAATTAATTTTGTTTTATATTTCATTCATAAGGGTGCAATGGCACCCTTCAGAATTGTATTAGCTTATCTGGCCAAAAGTTAAGGGCCATCTGACCTTTTGCCTTCACTTTCTGTCTGTCTGTCCCTTCAAGTAAATTTTACACATTTTCATCAAACGTGGACCAAAATATAGCCAAACTCACAAGAATTCCTGATCGTTCATGGAAGGCCCTAAACAAACAATTTTTATTCATTTAAGAAAAGATTGATTTAAAAACATCGCTTGATTCTAATTGACAAACCCCACTCAGAAACTACACAGCGGATGTGAACCAAATTTTGTCTAAATTATCAAAGCACTTTTATTACAAGGCATACTTCTTTATCTAAGTAAGAGCAAGGATTTGTTTAGTAATACAAATCCTAGGTAAGAGAGCAAGAAGGAAATAATTTGAATTAAAATTAATTGTTATGGAGTATCTTTTTCATAGACGACAGATATGTTCCAATTGTCTTAACCACAATTCCTGCCCCAAAGTTGGTTATTGTGTGAAACCAGCGTCAATTTTGAGGATTTTTTGGCCTATTTCTTGACCTGGAAGTTAGAGGGATGCTGATAGATGTATCCCACTATAGTCTGCATGTGGACCCAAGTGACCACATTAACCACAACAAAGCATAGGTCTGAGTTAAACTGATCTGGGTACAGCAGTCTAAAGAATGTCATTTGCACAAAAAATTTGGAATTTCTTGATTTTTTTTTATTTTTGGCTTCAACTGGACCTGCAACCAGAAGTAGTCGTTCACTAAGTGAATTTCAATAATAAACATGATCAGTAGTTATATTCCTGCGGGTTAACACTATTTTTGAAAGATTTAGGCCTCTGAACTGCGTGTGTAGGACACAGAAGGGAAGCCCACCCCTCCAGAAAAACCAGTTTTAGCCGATTTCAATTTTCCAAGTTCGTATTTGAGCTCAAAATGCACCTTAAACCTGTGAAACATGTTAATCAATAGCCTTAGGTTGAAGGAAAATGCATCAACTTTGAAATTAATGTCAGACAGTTAACCTCTAAAAGTATGGAGACCCATTGGAGCCAAAAAAAAGGTATTTTGGGTAGAGGCCTTATTTTACGGCCCCTGCATGATAAGGGTTAATATTCCATTGGTCTCTTCCGCCTCTCTTGGTTCTAACTGCTTGAGTGGTCACGTGGTGGTGTGCAGGACTGAGGTAGCCATTTCAATACCTGGCCATGCCGTACGTAGTCAAACCAGAACTTGAAAATTGTTATTTTCTGCTTCCCCACTATTTGCAGTATTAAGGAGGAAGAATAACAACTTGTCTGCTCAGAGTCGGAATAATGTGTCCTGGTATGGTGAAATTTCGTCTTGCGTACTGTTTCCTAGTGCAGTAATACGTATAAAATCAGGGTTCATATTAAAATACCATAACATGTTCTTGTTCCAATATACATGTTATATTTGTCACTGGATGTTATCACTATCATCCAAATGCTTCTTGTTAACAATCCACTCTATTTTAAAGGCTTTAAATGCAAAAGGAGAGAATACAAAGTCATACTTTATTTCGTTACTATAAAATATTTGATTAATTTTGATTTGATTTCTTTATATTTCTTCACGATTTTGTTGATTTCTATTATTTTTTTTATTTTTTTTCGTTGGTTTCCTTTCTTTTTTTTTAGTTTAGAATTATATAGGCAGTCCAAACTTGGCCGTAATTGCAGGTTTAAAAAAAAAAATCTTAAATTTGTTTCTATTTGAAAAAAGCATTGTTGCCAGAGATCATTCCTAACCTGGTTGATCAGTTTTGGAGGCTGTTCATTTCTTACATCAAGATAAGATCCAAGGGAGTGATACAGCTAGGGCTCTTTGGAGCTTTTAGTTATACTATTCATATCCATAAACACTAAACAGGATCTTCAAAACCGACTTGATATACTGCATACTTATTGTATTGATTGGTGTCTGGATGTTAACTTGTCCAAAACAAAAGCTTTAATTTTTAACAAGCCTGGAAAATTTTTGAAGGAATCACTTTGTTTAGATAATGAGGCTATAGAATGTGTTAACAGATATAAATATTTAGGAAGAGTCTTTACTTCTAGTGGTCTATTTCAGCAGGGGAAAGAAGAGCTATATATTCAAAAAGTCCTTAAAGGCAAAATTTAAATTACAAAAATCCATGTCAGCTTGTAATCCAAGTATTGATACTGCAATTCATTTATATGATCACACAATAAAACCAATTTTATTATATTGTAGTGAAATTTGGGGTACATTTAAGATTAACTCTGCTGCTTGCAAGAAAAAAAAGTGATTATCTATTTGAATTAATTTACATAAATGATTATTTGGAAAAATCACATTTCAGATGTCTAAAGTATATTCTTGGTGTAAATAAAAAAGCCTCAAATTTGGCAGTGTTATCAGAGGTTGCAAGATTTCCTCTTTATTTTTCTGTCATTATATCTATGGTAAAATATGTACACAGACTTAACAAATTGGACGATGGGTACTTTATGATGCTTATGTTTGTAATAAAATTTTAGATGCAGGAAACATTAATTAAGGTATTCATCTATGAGATATGTACTTCAATCACTTGATATACAAAATTTGAATACAAAGCTCAATAAATTAATTAAATTTGTAAAATGTAAACTTTGCAACAGTTTTAAAACATTTTGGGTGGTAAAAAGATCTGATACCTTATAATCACAAGGTAATAGTAAATTAGAAAATTATTTCAACCTCAAGACTGACTTCGTAAAGGAGGCTTATTTATCAATTAAAGATTTTAATATAAGAAGAGCTATATGTAAAATGAGAATAAGTGCTCATGATCTTAAAATTGAGAAAGATAGATATAGTAAAAAATACATAGAGAGAACTCAGTGTCTATGTCATCACTGCCTATCACATGGATAAAATTCTATTGAAGATGAGACCCATTTTTCAGTAAGTTGTCCTTTATATAACAAACAGAGAAAATTATTATGGGATAAAGTAAACAGTTTTTGTACCAATTTTAAAGAATTACCCAAGGATAAAAAATATTTCTGACTGTTCTCAAATGAGCATTTACCAACTCTCATGTGCCTAGGAAATTGTATTATTAACTGTTTAGAAATAAGATCCAGTTGGATACAAAATATATAAAATAATAATTGATTATTATGAAATTATTGTAATAGTTATGTAAGACATATGATGTGTTAGGCTCTGATCCTGTCCATAACATGATAGTATTATATTAGGTTCTTGTTTTTTTTTTCCAATCATATTGTGCATAATATTGTTGTAAAATGATGCCCTTTATGGGTTCTTGATTAGATTAATAAAATTCTTATCTTTATCTTATCTTATCCACATTATTGTATTTCAAGCCTATACTCTGCATATAGCATTCTGAAAATAATGTTTGTTGAATATTTGCACTTTCAAAAAAATACTGTATGTGATATTTTATGAGCTCTGTGTGACCATGGTATGACAAAGTTACGATTTTAAATTTAAACATGACACTACAGGATGTCATATGCCATAAATAGTATCTTCGATATTGGGTCATTGATAAATATGTCATTAGTCTAACTCTTTTTTTTAAAGTTTATGTTACTTATTGAAATTCTTGGAAGAGGATATAAAGATTTTAAAGGAGTGTACATGTCATTATTTTGTATATATAATAAAACTATAATAAAATCAAGGACGTATATATATATATATATATATATATATATATATATATATATATATATGTGTGTGTAGGTTTGAATGTTGTTTTCAATTTAGACTTGTTTATATTTAGTCAGTAATATACATGAAATACTGAAGACAACAAGTTTTGTGCAGTTTAATTTCTTTTTCTATATTGAATTGTGTTTTAATAATCCCATGTGCAAACAATATAAACGTCGTTGGTAATTTGCGTTCGATTTTCTCCTGCTTTTGGCCTCCCACGCTTGTTGATATATTTTACCGTTATGGAACCTCTACACAATGTCACAAATCGTGATTAGGAATGGAAAATTTTTATCGCTTGTAACACGTATATAATGTTTTTTTAATAAAAGATATAGAGTGTGTAAAAATTAGCATCAATATTCTGACGAAGAAAATGATTTCAAAATTGTTTTGCGTCCGTGCAGTTTTTTTCTCTCAATTCTCGGGCACTTGTTGTTTATCATGTGACAGACTGGCGCATGCGTAATAACGAATAAACTAAATGTAGCTCGCCATGGGGCTGCTACACAGGTTGCCCTTGTCGAGCGAAAACACTAAATATTAGGATATTATAAGACTTTTAACAAGCAATAATAATGTCTCATAACCGGTGCTATATTTATGTATTGTAAGTTGTGACAATTGATTTGTAATTAACTTTCAAATCTGTGATATTCGTGCAATCTCGACAGGGTATTGAAGAATTCGCCTTCAACAAACATTTCATTCCGTACAAGCTAAGGTATGTTGAAATACATTTTAATATTTGTGCTCTTGATGTAAATTTTGTGAAATATTAAAGGATACAATGATATAATTGAAAGAATTTTCAAATAAGATAGGAGAGTAAGTAAGAAAACAGATCCAAGTCGAATTTTGTAGACATTCCGAGTGGGTTGTGGTCAAGGTTCAAAGACTGTTGCTGGCTTGGATACGAATATGCATGTCAAGCATAAAACGATATAGGTAAAATATCGAAACTGAACATGTGGAATGTTTTATTCCCTGGGTCGTGTTATTAAAATAAACCGCTAGACCAATCGTTTATTTTGACTGCCTAACGCAGACGTCAGCCATATTGACAATCGTAATGGAATGGCTGCCGGCGACATTATAAATTCAAAATGGTGGCCATGTCCTTGCATAGACCCAAATATTGGCTTTATTCCATATCCTGATGACGATTGATATATGCCCTTTCAAGAAATTATCTCATTACAGAGTTAAGGAACTATTTTTTACTGTCCAAGAAATATCTGCTTTTGTACAAATATATGCAACGGACAGGAATATAGTTTCAATAACAGGACTTTCGATTTGAAATACAGAGCCTGGAAGATTTATAAATTATATCTTTTTTCCATATAGAATTTTGAAAGTTGTATATCAAATTTTAATTATAAATGAAATGGACATATTCTTAGGGTCAAGTCATCTTTTGTAGCCTCCCCCTAAAAAAATAAATGCTGAGTGGTTTTGGTAAAAAAAAAAAGAAAAATGCACTGTAGTAGGGGCCTACCCTAGATCAGAAAGATATTTACATGATTTTTTAGACTAATTATGCATAGATAGGGCTGATTCCTATCATCAGAGTTTCCTGTAGGTAGATATTATTTTTCTTCAACTTGCATTCCTTGTTTTAACAAATTGCAGTGTTGTCGTCTTGTGTAAATTTGGGATCTAATGTTACCTTCAATATAAATTTCAAGTGTACCTTAATTTATCAATCCACATCCTATTTGAAAATCGACATATTTATTAGTGAACTCTTAATTAGATTAATGATTTTTACATTTATGGATACATGTACTTTAAAATTTCATTTTGTCAATAAAACTTTGTTACTGCCCCTTTTTGTGGTTCCCGAGTGCCAATAATTATATTTTTATCCAAAACATTGTTATCAGTTAAGTTAAACTGTTCAACAATGTGTACAACAGGAGCATAAATTCTTTAGTGAAATCAGTGTTTTCCCTAAGATATTTAAAATAATGGTCCCATTACACATTAATTTGACAGCCATGACAGATGGCAACGCTGGACATTTATAATCTAGTTTATGATGGTGTACCCATTTAAACTATAAACTTAAGATAGACATCAGGCCTCGACAATAACGCTTGTCCGATTGTCCGGTACCAGAGGAAAAAAAGGTCGGACAAGTAAAAGCTATATCAAGCTTGTCCGACGGGACAAGTAAAATTATTCTGCAGAAAATAAATTTAATCCAACTTTGATGAATAAAGTAATTATAAACAAAAAACAAGAAAAGAAGATTAAAAACAAGTATTAATTTGACCTGTTTACTTGCAAACCGATAATTTTAAACTGGTTCTTTGTCAGGTACTTTTTAATAGGTAAAAGGCATAATATCTCGGAAACCAGTTTTACTGATCCGAATCAGCGATGCGCTTTGTAGAAAAGGTAACTTTACAAGACACCAGCTCGGAAACGATTCATTCGGATCACAAGTTTAATAGACAGTTTGGCACCGTAGGAGACATATTTAATAGACATGATTAATAGACCGTTTGGCAACGCAGGAGACATTTCGGGACCAAGACAAATCAGTACCTGGTTTTCCTACCTTATTCTGTTGCTTTATAATAAATACCATACCGGTAATTTTTTTAACAAAAATATTTTTTAAATAAAAATGAAGAAATTATTTACCATAGAATTCACAAAATCATATTTGATCATATGTAGAAAGAAACAATACTTGCAATACGGTGACCTATAGTTGTTAATTTCTGTGTCATTTGGTCTCTTGCAGAGAGTTGTCTCATTGGCAATCATACATCATCTTCTTTTTTTTATTGATTGCATTTGAATAATCTTTTTTCAACTTAAACAACCAGGATACAAATCCAATGAGTGTACATTGACAGGCCTATCAGACGGTGCCTCATGTGCAGAGTCTGATGATACTTTGGCATTGATGAAAACTAGAACCTAAGCCCTGTGACATGACTAGATTCAGTTGTTCTCGACTCGTATTTTTGAAAAGTATTTCAAAAGATATAAATCAAATTCTGTTCTATTGTTTTAATTCATTTTGTTCCTTGAATCAACTTAAAATGCCAAAAAGGTTATTATTAAGATTTTTTTTGGACAAGTTACAATTTCATTCGGACAAGTAAGTTTTGGGTTGTACTTGTCCTACTGGACAAGTTGAAAAAAAAGTTATTGTAGAGGCCTGGACATTGAGGTTTTTCACAATTTCTCCTTATGCTTGTTACAAAGATGAATAATATTCTTGATTGGCAAAATATACACAGAGTACTCACAAGGATATTTTGAGGGGGAATCTTGGGACTCGTCACTTTTTGAAATGGTGAGTCCCAGCTTGTTCTGATGAGTCCATAGTCTATTTACTGAAAGTTCTGAGCAGAACCGTCTTAAATATCTTGTGTAGCTTTACTTCCTCAAATGGAATGTTCTTATACCCCTTCCATTCCAAACCTGCACAATATGGATCTTGCTCATTAATGTTTCCTTCAGCTTTTTGAAAGGGGTAGGGACATTTTTTTCTCGAAGGGCATTCACTGCCACTCAGCTTGATTGGCTTCTCATTTCTGGCACCCTTTGAGTGGAGGACTACACTTTTAGGGCACCCTTTACATAGATAATAAGGCACTGTACTGTTATGGATAGAGTTTTAAATTAAAATAGATCATTGTTTCATGTTTACTGATTGACTGGTAAGAAATAAAGATATGTATACAATGTATTTGGCTATTAAATGGATAGTAGCTACGATTTTCATTAAAATTATTTTTTTAATCTATATGTCGGATTTTGTACAAAAAGTTAATTAAGTATAAATAAAACCATCACTGTTTACTTTCCATTTAGCATTTAGAAGCTCTTTAACGTTTTACACCTGAATTTATTTTTTGTCTACCAGACAAAAATTCGATGTTAAGCCAACCCTTATTCATTTGACCTATGTTGACCTTAACCTCGGCAGTCCTCAATGCGCAATCGCACGTTGTCCCTCGAAGGAAAAAAGTCGAACAGAGGAATGTTATCGCAGGAATGGAATGTGTATTTATAGTTTCTGCTGGAAAAAGGAACAGAAAAGAGGTGCAGATAAGTTATTGTGAATTGGAAATAAATAACGGCGATGAGGTTGGTCATTAATTAGAATCACTTAAAAAAGTAGTCGACAATACGTCGGTTTGCGAAATGTTTACATTTCTAAACCATTCCAGATCACATGAAAACAAATCGTGATGTGTTCAAATCGTTATTGTCCAAAATACGTTTATAAATTTACAGGCAGTGATCTCCCAACTTAGCAGAAATTGAAAATAATCTTCTTGCAATTTAATATTATTCTTCCAGTGTATACTTCATGTTGGTCCCAATTCAATTCACAAACACGTGAATACAGTATCGGCATTGTTTTGTCATACAAATGTTAAAACAAGTGTATGATATTGCCCTCGATTGAGAACCTTGGGTTCAAATAATATGCAGGCTTTTGTTATATTTTGTTGTTTACATAATTTGATAAATGGTGTACTAATGTCAAATATGTACGTTTAATTTTAAGAAATTATCAAATATGTAAGAAAACAAAAAGCACATGTAAATATCTATTTATATCTTGGTCATTTCACTCACTGTTTCGGCAAAATTCAGGAAGTAAACCTGATGCATACATGTAATTAATGAGATGAATAGACACACAACACAATAATAATAATAAATTATTAACACTTCTGAGGTTAATTTAAACATATCAGCAATCTAAATGTTAATTTTTCGTACATATCTTTGATTTTAGCAGCTTTAAAATTTGGTCCTAATTTTGTCAAAATCATAGCTACTATCCCTTTAATTCAATTCCTTTTTGTAATAAAAATAATCACTTTTTGACTCCCCAAAAAGAATCTTGATAGTGTAACAGCCTCATTTTAATCAATAACTCCGCTAATAAACTTTGATACTGAATCCCTGTTGTCTAAGGATGTGTTGTGAAAGTGTCAAAACTCGCATGACGGTTGACCAAGAGCATATCCATTGCTTTAGCTGCACAAAGGAATTAGTGCCATATACCTTTTTGATCCATTACCTTGACTCATTACTATACAAAACTTTATTGTCCATTCATGCATTTGTCTGTCCAGTTCTGTGTTTGTTTTTCAGTCCCCTACAGACGAAGTCGAAGGGGACTTTAGGCCAGACTTAAAATATTTCTGTTTGCCCATAGTCCCCTACAGACGAAGTCGAAGGGAACTTTAGGCCAGACTTAAAAATATTTCTGTTTGCCCAAACCCTACCCACCAGTCTCAGGTGTGGGTAGGTAGGTAGGGAGGGAAATTCTTTTTTTTTTTAATACTTTTAGAGAAAAATAGGGGAAAAAAATTATTTTACCTTGTAAACAACTTTTAAAATGAAAGACTATTGTAGAGTGTTGTATAAATTGTCAGACACATATATGCCAGGATCTATATGTACTATAAAGATCTTTTTTATTAACAGTTTTTTTTTCAGCATTCCACCTCAATGTAAATACAGACAAACCTTTTTAAAACGTTTAAAACGTTGTCGTCGTCCGAAGACAGTTGGTTTCCAGACAATAACTTTAGTATAAGTAAATAAATATCTATGAAATTTAAACACAAGGTTAATAACCACAAACGAAGATCAGGATTGATTTTGGGGGTTATGGTTCCAACAGTTTAGGAATTAGGGGCAAAAAAAGGGGCCTCTAGTTGAAACACAAATTTT